TCACAAATTTGGTGGTAATTAAGTTTTAATAATTATAATTAATAAAAATTTAATTACAATATATAATTTCTTCCAACCCACCACTCTCTCTCCAGAACCATCCTAACCCGTCGCCTCTCTCTCTCTACATTTCTACTGCCCGTCGTCGTCTTGAGAATCACCGGCGAATCGCCCGTCACCGTTCCATTGTACAGCTCTGCCGCTTCGTTCGCCGTCGTCTCCCAGCCCCATCACCCCAGCCGTCGGCGTTGATATTGTTCGGAGATGGCGACGCTGTGAATGGTGGCGGTGGTTGGTGCTATAGGTGGTGGTAGATCTGCAGCAAAGTCAATCCAGTCGTCGATGCGCTCCACTACCCACCGGCAACCGTGAGAGTTGTCTGCAGCCACGAAGTAAATGTTGTCGCCGATGCGATCTGAGCGTTGATGTTCTTTTTAACGTCGTTGTAGCAGCTGCGCGTCATCATCGCTGTGGGTGGTTTGCTGGTGGTTGGTGGTGTCGTTTGCGATGGTTTTTGGGCGTTGGTGGTGTCGTTTGTAATGGTTTTTGGGCAGTGGTGGTGGTGGTGGTGGTGGTAGTGGAAAATGAGGTATACTGTGGGTGGTTTGCTGGTGGTTGGTTTTCTGATCAGATCTACTGCTTAGCTGGAGTTTTGGGGGGTGGTGGTGTAGGTGCAGATGGTGATGGCGATGGTGGTGTTTTGTGCAGATGGTTGTGGTGTGGCGAACCTTTTCTGATCTATGACCAGATCCCAATTTGACTACCGGGTAGTTCATTGTGATCCGTTTGTGACCTTTTTGTGACCAATTGTGACTGGTTAATTGTGACTCGTTGTGACCGATTGTGACTTGAAATTCTGAAAAAAATTTGGAAGTTGGGAATGGGTGGATGGGGTGGGTAGGCTGATCGGAGCATGAGTTGGAGTGGTCATTGGAGCAGTTTGACAGAGGGATCGTGAATAGTCGCTGGAGAGAGCGTCGGGGTGATCATCGGAATAGTCGTCGAAGCGGCCGTCGGAACTGTCACCGGAGCGGCCCCGGAGAGATTGCCGGAACTGTCATCGGAGCAGCCGCCGGAGTAGATGGCCGCCTCCGATGGAGAAAAGGCGTAGGGAGAGAATAGAGAGTAGAGAAAGAGAATGATTTGGATTTGAAATTTAATAAATTTGGGTAATTGTATTATATTATAATTAAAAATATTAAATTAATTGATTTAACACCTGATTTTTGAAAATATTTTTGAAGTTTGTTATTTTTGAAATGTAATTCTTATATATAGAATTTATGTATTGTTCCCTAAATAAATCTTATAAATCATGTTAAACGAGTGGGCTGTCTCACTATTTACTTGGCTTGTTGGGCTGTTTTAATTCTCAACCGGCCTTTGAGGCCCATTTCTTCAAAACGCATTTTCAGTTACACACTTTTGCCTCCTTGTAAGTGGATTGTGATTAGCCGTACATGTGGCTTAATCCTGACCCTAGATCTGAATCGATTGATATGGATAGATACTATACTTAGCTTTTCACTCTTCGTGTTCTGTATTAGGTTTGAATAGTTCTTTTATCTGTGAATTAGGGTTTCTCTGAAAATCTATAGCTTTTGATCTTTGAGTCACTACAACAAAAATAGTCATTTGTGACATTAAAAAGGATTTGTTGACAAATGTTGTCAAAAGGGTCTTTTGGCAACATTTTAGTAAGTAAATGTTGCCATTGGTTAATATAAATGAGTTTTGACAACGTTTTTTAGAAAAATGTTGCGATAGACACCTTTAACAACGTTTATTGAGTGTTGTGGAAGGTTTTTCCTTTAACAACGTTTAATGAACATTGCAAAAGGTAAAGTCACCTTAGCAACGTTTGTCAAACGTTGTGAAATGTAAGATTTTTCGCAACGTTTGATAAACATTGCTTAATGTGATTTTTGGCAATATTTGATAAACGTTGCGAAATGTGACTTTTAGCAACGTTTGACAAACGTGGCTAAAGGTGAGACTTTTCGTAACGTTTGATAAACGTTGCAAAATGTGACCTTTAGCAACGTTTATCAAACGTTGCGAAAAATCTCATCTTTAGCCACGTTTATCAAATGTTGCAAATAAATAATATTCTGGCCCGAATGACATTCCAAATTAAATTATATATTGAACCCTAATCCTAAACTCATTAACGCCTCCCTCATTCCTCTCCCCACAGTTTCTTTCCTTCCACTTCTACCTCTGAATCCGTTTTCTGCCATTATCTAGCCACCAAAATCACCGAACATTGGTCCCAACGGATTGCCCATAACATCTTCTACAATTTCCACCCAACATCTCCCAAAATCATCCAGTAATACGGCTGAAATCAACCTAGAAAACCAGCAACCTGAAAATGTGAAAACTGTCGGAATCGTCTCCTACATCTTCACTCTCCCTCTCTAAACACACGAAGTACGATTCAATTCGTATCAACGATTTCAACTGGTGAGTTTCTAATATTTGAAGCCCCAAATCCATAATTTGTTTGAAGTAAGTGACTATTTAATTGCGGCACTGTTCTTGTTGAAATTGATACTTGCAACTCTATGCTTGTTATCATTGATTGTAGTATCACACAAGATGCCCTTGTCGTCTCTACAAAGATTGTTGCCCTTCCAGGTATCAATAATGTGCAAGGGGTCATAAGTTATTGTTTTTCTGAACCTTTGGATTACTTTAAGGGCCAGTTTGAGTTCTAGAGGGAGAGGACTAGGTGGTTGTGGTGGAGGTTTTGGAGGTCGAGGTGGTGGTGGTGGTGGTGGTGGAGGGCATTCAGGCAGGGGAGGGGGAGGTATAGTTTCGGGGGGTGATTCGGGAGGTTCAGGCAGGAGAGGGGGGAGGTATTTATATAAACACATTACATATTTGCTAAAATGTGTATGGTAGAAGAGGATTAAAAGAAGCAAGATTTGTCTTTTATTTTCAAGTTGTTATAAACACACAGAGATAGAGACAAATTTATAGAGTAGAGAGAGATTGAGGCTGGGAGGAGCGAGAAAATCCGAAGAAAATGGAGACACATTGATATGGTCTATGGAGGGGGCAGCATATGTCTCATGGGGTTGGTTTCGCAGGCTGGGTGAGCTTCCTTTCCTTGTATTTCAATCCACCTTCAGTTCCAAATTGAAACTCTCAAAAAACGCAAAAAATAGTTTTAAAATTAGAATCAGAGTATGACTCTTGTTATAGTTAGTTTAGTTTAATACTTCATTAATACCAATTTTTTTGGTCATGTTATTGTCTGCCTCTGCAGGGTTATTCCCAAGACGCTCATGCCTCAAGAGGTATGTCCCTTGTGGTTATAAAAGTCTTCGGCCTTTTCTCTTATATTATTACATCAAATACTGTACTATTTTTAATGCATTTTTCCTTAGTTCTCCTTTCTCTTTAATCTTTATCTGTCTTTTTCTGGTACTTTCCTTTTTGCTTTCAATGCTGTTTGTCGCAATAATTTTGTTAAATCACCTTTCTACTTTGTCTTTGCCAATGATTTACATTTTTATTTATTTATATTTGGCTTTTTAAGTCGCTTTAGAAATGGAGGTCTTGTTTCTTTCTTAGTGCTTGCTAGCCTTATCCATACTTGGCCAGAGTTTTGTGTTTCAAATGTTACCTCTGATTTTTCCTTTTCTAATTAATGATATGTTTACTTTGTTGTGCTATGAGTG